ACAAGCAGACAATAAATAAATTATTATACATTAAATCAGAAGTACTGAAAATAATTAAATAATTTTCACTTTGAGAAAAAAAATTATATATACATACATATATAAAAAAGTGAGACAAAATTCTTTATTTTCTGCTTTTCTGTCAGCATCTGTCATATAGAACTACAGCAGAAAATAAATTTCCCTCGGTTTGAATAAACTGATTGGGCTCAGTTCATATTCAGAAGTGACCTACTTTAGAGGGTTAGTCTATGTTTCAGATACTAGCGTAATATTCCAGGAGTGAGATCAGCTTCATCGTGTTTTGTGCTTCTACAGAATAAGCAGTCTGATTGTTTCTGTGTGTGATCGTTCGTCAGGCCAGCGTGTCTCTGAAACGCATCCAGGATTTCCTGAGTCACGATGAGCTCGATCCCGAGAGCGTGGACAGAAGAAATAACGCTTCAGGTAACGGAGCTGAGCTCTTGAAGAAACCCGTCATGCTGAAACAATCAGACTCGACTCCAGTTTCTGCTCTCGAGTGCTGAGTCATGCTGAGTCGTTGTGAAATCTCTGCTGTCTGCAAGTTTCCTTTCCTCCAAAATGAGTCACGGCTTTCTCTCTCGTCAGAATACGCCGTGAGCGTCGTAAACGGGACGTTCTCATGGGCCAAACAAGACCAAGCCACTCTTGACAAGTAAGACTCACAAAACACTGGCTGAAGGGTGAAGCCAAGTGCAATTTAAACAAAACAACCACTAGTTCATAGAGGCCTTTACTGCATTTCTATGCTGAATCTGTTTTAGATGCATGCAGAACTTTTCAGATCACTTATTCAGGATCAATATAAGAGGCATTTTAGCCTGACACTTTTCATGTTTCTAAGTGATTTTCACATACGTGTGGTTTCTAAATTTGATCCTTTAGAAAAAAGTGCAAACGTATTGATGTATCAACATTTCTGTGAAAACATTTGCATGCATCTTTTCACACGGATATGTGCGTTTGCACAGTTATTAAGAGACACATTGTTGTGTGTCAAATAAAAAATAGAGCAAAAAGAATAGCTTTATTTTAAATGGTGCCTTTAAAAGTTGCTTTCTCAAACTGCTTTACAACAAATGCAAAACACAAGAAACAAGATGTGAGGACAGAAGCATAAATTAAACTATAAAATAAGACAATAAATATAACAAAAATAAATAAAACGCATATAAAAACAAAATAAAATAAAACAACAACATTAAATAAAATAAAACATAACATAAAAACAAATATTAAAATATAAAATAAGAAAATAAAACAAAAATAAGCAAAATAAAATAGATTAAATACATTTAAAAAATAAAATAAAATAGATGATAAAAACGAACTAAATAAAATAAAATAAAACAAGCCAAAACATGTAACAAAATGAATAAAATAAAATATAAAATAAGAAAATAATACAAAATAAACTAAATCAAATAGAAATATAAAAAATGTAATTAAATAAAAGACAAAATAAATAAGATAAAATATAAAACAAAAAATTCAAATAATAAATAACAGAATTAAACCAGTAGTCAAGTAAAAGCTATCCTTAAGTAAGATGTTTTAAGACCAGATTTAAAGCTGCCTCATGATTGTGCTTCCCTTAAAGGGGAAGTGATTGATTAATAGCAGTGCTGAGTAACCCGTGTGTTGTTTCGGCAGCATTAATGTGATGGTGCCGCAGGGCTCTCTGCTGGCGGTCGTGGGTCACGTGGGTTGCGGGAAGACGTCGCTCGTGTCCGCCCTGCTGGGAGAGATGGAGAAGCAGGAGGGTCAGATCTCCATACGGGTGTGTATTCGTCTCCAGATCCGTCTTTATCAGGGGAAAGCTGTGTTTGACGCTCGTCTCCTCCTGTAGGGATCCGTGGCTTACGTACCGCAGCAGGCCTGGATCCAGAACGCCACGCTCAGAGACAACATCTTGTTCGGCAGACCGTACGTGGAGCAGAGGTACCGCTGCGTGCTGGAGGCCTGCGCTCTGACCCCTGACCTGGAAGTGCTTCCTGGAGGAGACCAGACTGAGATCGGAGAGAAGGTGCTGGATCTCAATGGCTGTGCATGACTTTTGAATAAGCTGGGCTGTCAGTTTAACATGTTCATTTAATACAGTTAATTATATTCAAGTGCATTTTATAATGTTTAATATTATTTAGTAATAATATAAAAAAAACTACTTCTGACCCGTATATAAATTCTTTAATTGTTTTTTATTTATATATTTTAATGAAATTGTGCTGTATGGTAACTAGGGCTGTCAGTTCGATATGTTAATTTAATACAATTAATTATATAAAAATATATTTATATAATATTTAACACTATATAGTATTTAATATTTTATATATTTAAAAAACACAACTAAACATGACATACAAAGCATGTTTTGGCATGTGTGTGCGGTACATTAATCTGATTTTAATTGTTATATATGATTTTTTTTTAATATAGCTATAAAATAATGTTGTATGGTTATTAAAGCTGTTAGTTGAAAATGTTCATTTAATAGAATTAATCATATAAAAATATATTTTATATAATATTCCATAGCATTAAATATTGTTTAGTAATATTTTTTTAAAGAAATTAACACATTTAATTATGCACCTGACACATACACACACACACACACACACA